TCTGGTGATTTGTCTACATTCTCCATGTCGGCTTGCACATGCACCTAGCATGGGCTCCATACAGGCTCCTTGCATTATGGAAAAAACAAACAAAACACCACACCAACAACAATGGAAAAAGTCAAATAATGAATCAAATGATAATAATATATCTAATACATTTTTATATTTTCAAAGGAAGGAATACATCCAAGGACTTAGAAAATTGGAGAGATTGAGGGCTTGTGTCATAGAGGAAGGCATCTCTACACAGAAAGGTTGAAAACCATTAGGAACCGTGCAACAGGGAGAACAAGGAACTTGATCTCTTAAAAATGTTCAGAGACCATGAAGCCTGGGGTCTGGATCAACAAAGGGAGGAAACGATAAGATGGCATTGGAAGTGTAGGCGTGAAAGGGTTGGGATTTTATTCTTCATAGCAATTGATTTAAGTTATTAACTAAGCAACTTTTAATGTTCCTCTACCAAAATACATGAGAAATGCTTCTCTAAAAAGACTGGTTCCCCAACTATATTAAGTTAAAATAACCAATTTTTATTTAAGCAGGCAATTTAAAATTGTAGCATTTGTTGTTGTTTAATGTGAGAGAATAGTATTGTTTTGATAATACCAAAAATGTAACATTTAATTTTATAAATGTCATTGGGAAAATCAGATTTACAATAAGCTAGTTGATATTACAAATACGTGTTCAGGACACATCTATTGCTTCAGAGGGTCCCAACTGAATGTGAGGGATGTGTCAGACATAATAGATAATGCACTTCCAGGGAGAGCATTTATTTGATGCCTCTCCGTATATGCAGCACCCAGCCACTTATTCTTGCATGACATATAAAGTTTACTTGGCACCGGTTAATCATCTGTTCTCATTAAATTATTTACCCTTTTTATAGAAAGAGAATGCATCGTTCCCGATATAGAGCAGAGCTTACTTGTTCAGCCCCGGAAAGAGAAATATGTCATTGGAGACGTGTTGAAATTCTCCTGCAGAAATAGACTCCTCACTCTCATTGGAGCAGACTCTCTTCAGTGCTACCACTTTGGATGGTCCCCTAGCCCTCCAACATGTAAAGGTGATTAATTCTCTGCCACCTGCTCAAACAAGAATAAGAATGTTGGATATCAGCTGCCCTTTTTCTCTTAATTTTCTGCTGGCTGCCAGTGTGTCTATAAATCAGTGCATTAAGCCAGGAATGTGTGCTGGATAGTAAGATACCTTCCACTTTCTTATTTAAGGAAGTAATCTTTCATTGCTTTTTGGACTATATACTGAAAATCTCCATAGATGCACATACTGTGTGACGCTGGAGTGACCTCTTTAGTCATATTTTTTGCATAACTTCCACCACTGGTATTGGACATTTCCAGCAGCATGGGTCTCACCTCAAGTTTCCCTGAGAATTTCTAGACAATTTCAAGCATCACAGAGTTAATTCAATGCCATCTGCAATATAACGTAGAGTTACAATTTGTTGATGAAATACTTGCCTCCAATGATTCCAACCCCCAAAAAGTTTTGATGAAATGTTTCTGTGGAATGTGAATAGTTACACAATGATAGTTGGTCATTGATTTGCATTTAGTTTTAGATCTTCTAGAGCAGCGGTGGGGCACCTTTTCTCTGCCAAGGGCCATTTGGATATTATGACATCATTCTCAGATCATATAAAATTATCAATTAAAAGTTATCCTGCTGTAATTGGTCAAACATTTAATTAGCTCACCCCTAATGCCTTGGCAGGGCCAGACCAAATGATTTCCAAGGCCTTTTATGGCCCTCGGGCCAGACGTTCCCCACCCCTGATCTAGAATATTGAACGTTTCCTGGGCTTACGTATATGTCCAATGTGCTAGTTCTGTATCATAACAGAACTGGGAGACATGAATCTGGTGTAAACACCATTCTTTATCCTTCCTCAAAAGAATGCTATAATAAGTTAGATAATAAGTAATAGATTAAAGAAAAAATCACTTCATTTTACTGGATTTTCAGTTGTACAGGAGACACTTTCACCTTTAGTTATACAGTATTTCTACCGTAGAGGAAGTACAGTCCTGTGATCAACCTCTTCGACTCCCCAACGGGACAGTGGCAGACACACCTAAAGGGGAATATGAACACGGTGAGGTGGTGGAGTATGTGTGCAACCCCAGGTTCCTGATGAAGGGTGCGAGGAAAATTCAGTGCGTTGATGGAGAGTGGACACCCTTGCCCGTGTGTGTTGGTAATGTATCCAAAATTTCAGCAGTGTTTCTGTTCATATCAAGACCTCACTTACATTTTAAAGTCGAATGTTTGTTTGTGGGATTTTCACAGAGGAGGACAGTACATGTGGAGACGTACCTGAGCTGGACCACGGCGAGGTCGTGTCCCCAGCACGGCCCCCCTATCACCATGGAGAGTCAGTAGCGTTCACTTGCGGAGAAGACTTTACAATGATTGGTCACAGCTCAGTTACATGTATTAGGGGAACGTGGACCCAACCCCCTCAGTGCATTGGTGAGAAGACACTTCTTTAATTGACACTTAATAACATTGTGATTTTTTATTGTGAAACTCTACAGGCAACCGTATTTCTGAAAATGTCAGCTTGCAAATTATAATGAAGCCGACATTCATTGTTTATATTGTTCAATAGGATCTACAGAGGAAAAATAGAAGCTAGCAATAGAATTTTACGCGTCTGTCCCTCATATTAACATCATTTAAACCTGTGAAGCTAAATTTTACTTAAAGATACATGATTAAAATTTTCTGCTTCAGTGTTTATTTTGTAACTTCTTATAAACCTGCCTTTCACTCTAGCAAGATGTTTCTTTTCTCTGAATAAATAAATTCTTTCAGAAAACAAGCATCTTTCGACATACCACAGCCACCACACCTCCTCTTGACCACAAATCTTCCTTCAGTTCTCATCTCGAAGAAGACGACTCATTTTGTGTCCCTCGCCACTCTGGACCCGCCCTAACAATAACACTATTTCTCAAGCCTCTTGTCTGTTTTAAATTAATCCCCTTTATTTTAGTTTTTTTTCAAGGTTGCATTACAAAATCATTACTTTTCTTTGGCCAATTACTAGACTGTTCTTTGTTCTGTTCACCCTCACTTGACTCTCATCATTTACAAATTATTAACAAATACTACCTAAGACCTACACTGATACCTTATCAAATTCAAAACGGATTGCCACCTGCATTGCCTTTTTGAAATATGTAGCTGTGTACGAAAACTTCCATAGTCCATATCTAAAACATACTGCAGCCAACATCAATGTGTTATTAGGGCATTATAATATTGTTGGATTCTAGGATGATCTGGTGTATAAAATAGCTTCTCAAAGATTCTAAGAACATATATACAAAATGTGTTATGACTTAAAAACCAAGTTTCTTATTCTGGTCTTTGGTGTTCATGCCAAAGGTATGCTGAGACATTCACTATACCCTACACCTTAAGTCAACTTTTCTTGTTAGTATAAAGTTATTTTAAAATATATAATTAAACTAGGAAATTCATATATTCTATTTCCACTGATAATTGTTTTCTTTTACCATTTGAAGACTATAGACTGAAAATAATGTAGAGATATGTGGCACCAAGAAAAATGGATGTGAAAATTTGCAGATTTCAAATGAGACCATATTTAGTCATGTATGACTCTTTCCTATGTAGCTCAGACAAAATGTGAACCCCTATATCCTTGCAATCCCCAAAGCGCAGCATGGCTTTAGGATGACTATGTGTTCAAACATTGTAGCCCAACTCATTCAGCATGATCAGGAAGAACGTTGCTGCTGGAATTTAGATCCCGGACTCCATAGTTGTTGTGTTGGGTTTGTTTTTTATTAGTTGCCTGGATTTTCATAGTTAGTGTCTTCAATGGAATATTTTCATTTTACAGCGACAGTTGAACTGAAGACGTGTAAATTACCAAAGACAATTGCCTATGAGACAAAGCTGTCAGGTAGGATTGAGTATGAGCATAATAAGAAAATCAGTTACACTTGTGGGAGGAAGGCAAACAGAAACACTCAGTCTGCGTGAACGGAAAGTGGGAGCCCGAGGTGACCTGCACAGGTGAGCTCTTGTTTAGAACATTTCCAAACGGTGGTTTTCCTTCCTGCCTTGTACAAGGTGTCTCTTTGTGTCCTAACCTTTTATTTCTAAGTCTGTATTATGACAATAATTTTGTAGCCTGAAAGTAATTTAGAAAATAACCAAAACACTGTTTCTGAATAGTCATTGTATCCTGTGCATTGGTCAGCTGTCAACAAACCACCCGGCAGTGCGGTGGCTTTAAAGTCACATTGGGCAGTGGGTGTGCGCATTCCTATTGGGATCCCATTGCTACCAAGTTCTTACCTTACAGATGTGCCTATGCCTGTAACGCGTGTATTTATCTACGAATCTATGGGTGCACGCTCTATCTATGTCTGCATCCACCTATCTCTGTAGGAATCTACACATCTAGTCATCTGTCTTTGCTCATTTATCTGTCTGGCAAACACTGAGTCTCATTGCCACCACCAATTCCAATAACACAGGGTTTATTCACTTTTCATATCACTATTGCTCTTCTTTAACTGGAGGGCACCTTGACCCACTCACCTCAATATTTTTACCAATTTCCATGGACCTAGAATATACAGAAAGCATTTTACATAAGCTCAGCTACCCAAGGTTGATCACAGAACGAATAAAGAACCTACAAGGAAGGCCATGAGAATATAAACCCAATGAGGTATATTAGAGTGTCAAGCAAGATGAAAGTATAACATATTTAAACACAGAACATAGCATTATAGTTTGATCTTTCCAGGTGCATTATTATTGATGATTTTATTCACTGAATTGTTATTTTAATATTTTTGACTTATGATTTTTCATTAAGAAATCTAATTTTAATATTTTTAGAAGCACCACGATGTCCACCTCCACCTCAGATTCCCAATTCTCAACATATGGCCCTTTCAGTGAATTTTCAAGAAGGAGAAAAAATATCTATTCTCTGTCAAGAAAACTTTCTAATGCACGAAGGAGAGGAAATCGTGTGCCAGGATGGACGATGGCAGTCAATACCGCGCTGTGTCGGTCAGTAGTGGGTCACTTGCGTTACACTGTCTCTCAGATGAGGGTAACCCACAGCCCTGCTTTGTGAAAAGGAACAAGATCACCCTTCTCCCCTACCCATCCCACTCATCTCCAAACAGTACACTCCAACCAGGTGCCGAAATCAATCATCATTATTTCCTTTCTAATGTGAAATCAATGCAAACAGAAACTTCCGGTGACTGTGAAATACCCAAGTTCTGTTCATGCGTATGTCACTCCTCAAGACGAACAGGAGAGACTGAAGAGGCATATGGGACACATGGACAGTAGCATCAATTTTATGGGCACATATATCTTTGCAACTTTCAAATACTTTTAGTTATTAATAATTTAATTGGTTCCAATGTCCCTAGTTTAAAATCCCAAACAGTGTTGGATTTTATTTTTCAATTTAAACATTATCTTTGTGCCTCACCCTTTAATCTCTATTTTTCATATAGAAAACACGCTGTGTTCTCAACCGCCTCATGTAGAACATGGAAGCATTAATGCATCCAGATCTTCAGAAGATGAAAGAGAAACATTGGAACCCAGGCTATATGCGCACGGCACCACATTAAGTTATATTTGTAAGGATGGTTTCAAATTATCCAAAGAAGATGGGATAACATGCCACCGGGGACAATGGAGTGCTCCACCACAGTGTGTAGGTGAGGACAGCATGCAAACTAAAGTTCTGTTTTGATACAGTTCAGTAAGATAATCCATCGTCATCATCAAAGTCATGAGAAAAAACTCTTTAGATTTATAAACGTATAAGAGCATTATATTTCATTTATATAGATTATAATATTTTACCAAATTGTTTTTGCAGAAACAAATCAAGCCTATTTTTACTACTTTTATTGGTTCATTATGATATCACTTGTAATTCGGGCATTTTTTCCTATAAAACCTAAAATGTGGTGAAATGAAACCTCACTCTTCATATAATTATACTTGTTCATACTCCTACATATTCAAATGGGTTTCAATGAAGGCTTTGTTGTCAGGTTTTATAAAGATTTATGTTCTCTCTCCATTGTCCCTTCTGATCTCTTACAGTAGAGGATACTTTTCTTAAGATGATTCTCAATGTGTTTCTTTTTATTGCTTATGATTCGTTAGAGAAGCGTTAACACGCTCAATCTCATATGTGTTCATAATTTTCGCTTCAAGTTCCTGCTCAAGCTGACAGCTGGACAACCACCATGGTGGTCTGTCAAGCATTTGTGCGCCTTTCCTGTCATGTGATATTAACGGCTGTGTGATCATTTTCTTTCAAATGAAAGTACCAAATATGACAACCAGGACATGAAGTAAAGTTCAGAGTTAGTGAAATACGCAGTCACTCTTTTCTTTCTTTTTGTTTTCTTGGACTTCCTTGTGGACCATCCCCTGTAGTTTCCAATGCTGTTCTTCCTAACAGGTTAAACAGTTATCCACATGGGATAAAATATTCCTCTACCTGTAACAAAGGATTTCAGATCCGTGGATCTGTGACTGTAGAATGTTCAGGAGGAAATTGGTCCCATTCACCAGAATGCACAAGTATAGTGTATTTCATTTTCTTCTAAGGCTGATGAATACCTTTAGTTCATTACATCCATGGTAAAACTATAGAACTGCATTAATTCTAGAAGATATCTCTAGAAGTTCTGGATTCTGCTAGAGAATGAATAGCACAATTAATAGTAATATGAGAAGTTTGGCAACAGGAGCCAAATAATTTCATTTGATGTCATCTGTGTTCACTGGCCACGTGCTCTGATGGGCATCCTCTGACTTCTCATCTCTTCCTGTATCACAGCTGGTCCCTACTCACTCACCCCATCATTATTCATTTCACTGAGAGTTTATCAGTTGTCTCCTCATAAATGCATAATGTTCTAAGATGTTTGATGTAGCCAGGCCCACATGGCTCAGTGGTTGAGCATTTACCTATGAACTAGGAGACCACAGTTTGATTCCCAGTCAGGGCACATGCTGGATTGCAGGATTAAATCCCCAGTGTGGTATGTACTGGAGGCAGCCAATCAATGATTCTCTCTCATCATTGGTGTTCCTATCACTAAACCCTCTCTCTTCCTCTCTGAAATCAATAAAAACATAGTTATTTTAAGATGTTTGATGTAATTATGGGGAAAGATTTGGACAGAAGCAAAAAATATCAAATGCACATAGTGTCTGTGCCCATGTGGACAGATAAGAATTTGATTATAAGAAGTTTGGTCTCGGTCATGCCCGGTGTGCCCATCTCCTCAGGCTTTCAACACCACCATCCCCACGTTGCACTTTTGATAAATGTAAAATTATTCAATGTAACTAAATCAAGATGGCTACCATTTTCAAGTTAGAGGAAAGACATTGTACAGTAGGCATTGGTTTGGTGTGTATCTATTAATCTAAAGTATAATTATTGGCCAACATGTACTTTTAAAGATTTACTGAAAAGTCTGTTCTTCCTTTTTCAGAAATAATGTGTCCTAGCCCACCCAGCTATGGCAATGCCATCCTCACAGGCCGGAAGAAGAACTCATACAAGTCAGGAGAACAAGTGGCTTCTGGATGTCCAGACTATTACCAAATGTATGGATCCAATTTTGTAGAGTGTAGGGATGGCATATGGATAGGAACACCCACATGCAAAGGTATTTTGGTGAATGGCTTCTCTCATCATTAAAAAATAGACGCAGGTTCTGGTGAGGCCAGATCAAGGAAGGTTTATGCCTCAGCAGAGAGGAACGGGATGTGCACTCAGTGCTGGGCATTGGGGCCCCAGAGCCCTCAGAGTGTGACCCCGGAAACAGCCGTGTCAGCGTCTCTGGGGAATCGGTAGAAAGGCAAATGCAGACTCACAGGCTCACTCAGACTCAGTATCAGAAGCTCAGGGGTTGTGACCCTGGAACCGTTGTAGCAACTCCCAGCGGGCTCTGCACCCATTTTGTGGGGAACCATAGCTTCAGCCTCTTATTACTTTATATCCAACCGAGTCTCCCCATTGAACTGCACAGTGCTCACTGCAGTGCCCGTAAGCACTCACATTATGAAAGTATTTTTAGGAAACTGTAAATATATTGTACTATTATTTTTCCTCAGTTTCTGTGTGGATATCTTAAGTACGTATCATCTTCTTTAGCCATGCGATATTCCTCAAAGCATGTGAATACTTGACTTACTCTCTAAGAACCTGGCTACTCTGCTCATTTCCTAAAGGCCTAAAATCCCAATTCAAAATCATGATGTTTACAAACCACATTTGGCTGCCAAATAATATGTTTATTATGAGTTTCTTGGGTTTATAAATTCACTTTGATTTGATATCATCTACATTATTTTACTAAACTTAAAGAAAAATGTTCAGAAAAACCGTCATTTTTTTTTTTACTTTTAAAAAAGTTTTAAAATTTTTATTGAATTTATTGGGATGCCATTGGTTAATAAATGGTGCTGGTATAATTGGAAAAACACAACAAAAAAAATGAAATTGGACCACCTTCTTATATCTTACGCAAGAATAATCTCAAAATGGATTAAAGACGTAAATGCAAGATTCAAAAACCATAAAAATCCTAGAAAAAAAAACATGGGCAGTAAAATCTTAGACATTTCACATAGGAATATTTATTTTCTGATATATCTCCTCAGGCAAGCAAAACAAAAGAAAAAAATAAACAAATAGGACTACATCAAACTAAAAAGTTTTGCACAGCATAATCATCATTTTCATTGGCCTAAAAATCTCTATTAACCTTTGAGAGAGGATGGAAAAGAAACTTAAGATATAAAAGCTTTCCTCTTACCAAATAAATTGCTTTATCTTCTTTTTTAAATCTTGTCTGTAAATTTGTGAAGTTTTCTGTCTCAATTGCGTCTAAATGATCACTGCATTAGAGATCCCTTTTTTCCTCTTTATTCAGACCTCTCCTGTGGCAGCCCTCCCTCAGTGCAAAATGCCTTCATACCAAACCAGAGGACTAGGTATCGACATGGGGACACAGCACGTATGAATGCAGGCAGCCTTTGGGCCTCTTCGGGAAAGCAGAAGTGACATGCTTAAGAGGGAAGTGGACAGACCCACCTGAGTGCAAGGGTAGGTGTCTCATTCTCCCCTCCCAGTCTCTGTGCAGCTTCTGTGAGCACTTGGTTACTAGACTCCTGTCCCGCTGGCCTTCATTGGTTACTCAGGTTTGTTGCTCTATCGATTCCTGTAAATCGGTTTGGGGCCGGGAGGAGGTGAGTGTAGCTCCCACCTACTCCGCAGCTCCCTTAAAATCAACTTCTCACTCAATAAATCAACAGTATCCTCTCTTAGAGTCCACAGGACAATGTGGGCGCCCTCCTGCTATTCACAATGGAGATGTTACCACATATATATCACCATTCTACGCTTCGGGGTCTTCAGTGGAGTATCAATGCCAGGCCTTCTATGAACTTGAGGGAAACAGGAGAATAACGTGCCATGATGGACAGTGGTCTGAGCCACCCAAATGCTTAGGTAAGTCCTTTAATTTCCTCGTGGACCTTGGGAAATCCGTGTAATGAATGTCATGTTTGCTGTTTACAACAGAACTTGCATGGACTATCACCCCTTCTGTTGACAACCAAATAGTCATGTCTGAGGGTAAACAGTCTGAAAAGTTCTTGAGCAACAACAGCAAGAAACTATCATTTTTCTTTATTTTAATTTTTTTCCCCATCACCACTTATGCCCTCTCCACCCTCATCCACCTCCACCACCCATTCAAGGATTCTTTAATGAAAGCCCTTCACAGCGTGGGTGACATTGTGAATGTGGATTATAACATACAATGACCACGCATTCCACAGAGTGCCTCATTGTAACATTATTGATAGTGAAAATGAGTTATAGCAACATGATGGATTTTCAATGAATTGGTTTGGATTAGGGTGTGAGAATAAATTTCTGCATCTGTGTAGAAAATTCTACATAAAAGTGTAAAATTCTGTGGAAAATATTTGTTGCTAGTTAAAGTTTTATGGTTTTGTTTTTGTTTTTAACCTTCAGATGCCTGTGTAATATCAGAAGAAATCATGGAAGCACATAACATAGAGTTGAGATATTCATATGCGAAAAAGGTTTATTCTAGATCAAATGATTTTGTTGAATTTACGTGTCGTCAAGGTTACTATACTAAAGTGTCACCAGCATCTGCATTCCGAGTACAATGTCAAGAAGGAAAAATGGAGTATCCAACTTGTGCATAAAATGAGAGCTGTGTGGCAGTTTTCATATTAAAATATGTGCCTCATTCAGTATGTTTTAATATTAATCCAATTCTTCTCAATTTATTTTTCTATTAGGGTGTAGCTCACTTGTATTCATTAATCAGAATTCCTGTTAAATGGCATGTGGGAGATGTCATTGTAATCTGAGACCAACGGACCACTTCTCATAAGCATCTCATTAAAAGGTGACAAACCAACATGCTACGTGTTCTGTTCATGAAACGTCATTCACATTGGACAGAAAGTAGATGCCATCTCTCCCCGCCTGCTCCCCCCCTCACTCTCCTGACTTTCTCAGCTTCTCCACAGCTGTGGGTGGTTTTGAGACTCTAATTTCAGAGGAAAAGGTAAAAAATGCTTGTTTCCATCTTCACCTTAAAACCACTTATCAAACTCGTCAAAATCAAACTGTGTCACACTCACGTTGGCAACAGATGGTAGAGGTTATTACTTAGTTTTGCTTATCTATCCATGGCTCACTGTACCCCCTAAATGATGAAATGCAACATCTACTATCCATCCAGCACATACAATCATTCTTACAGGTGATAAGGAGGTATTAGATTCTAATCAGGGGCCTAGCTATTGTAACACGGACTTGAAAACTGATAAAATATCGAGTATAAGTACGTGTCAGGAAGGGATAGTGAAGTTCCCCAGATGTGAATGAGGAAGCCCTGTGGCCCCAAATATGTGGCCAGTCCCACCTACTGCTCTTTGCTCAAAGCTTGCCAGGCTTCCGGCATTTCCTGCTCTTTCCCACTATATTTCAAAGGACATAAAAGCAATATGTTAGCCTCCTTTTCAACTTAATCTTCTCCCAAAGTTGTTAACGCAACTATGTCATTGCTTACACTTGTACAAAGACAATGATTCTTCACCATCCTGGGATTAGACTACTTGCCAATAGAGCAATAAACAGCAATGGAGGTAAAGGTGTGGCTTTCTGCCTATTGAATCAGATGTTTAACCAGTCAAACAAAACACGTGAGCTTAGAATATACTGTCGGAAATTGTACATAATCAAAAATTATATGTTAAAATTGTCCTGTGGTTCAGTGGTCAGAGTATTGGTCTAAGGACCAAAGGGTCTGCAGGTCAAGTCCTGGTCAAGGGCATGTATTTGGGTTGCAGGTTCGTTCCCTGTCCCAGTTGGGGGTGCACAGGACACAAGCAATTGATGTGTCTCTCTCACATCGATACCTCTCTCTCTCTCCTCCTCCTTCTTAAATCATGAATAAAAATTGAATGCCAACAATGTGCTGAAATTCTTGGACTTTGTGGTGTTTTCTATTGTGAATTTACACAAAAATCAGTGCTTTCCTACAGACAGGAATGTACGCTGTGCCCATAGACCCCTAAGTACTGCACTCAGGTGAGAGACCGTCACAGGGACATGCAGGCAGAGCTATTCCCGTGTGAATCTCCTGGTTGAGGAAGAACCTCACTGGTTCTCAAGAAGCGTCTAAAGATTCGAGTTTTATATCACTTTTGGATCCAGTTTTCAACTTCTGTAAGGAAAGTGGCACAAATACATATCACAGAAGTAACTCAAGAAATGATTGTGAAATCCTTCATGCAAATTTACAGATATTGCAAACGTCTTTGAACTTTGATATCTACCGAGTGACCCCAGTCAACCAGCTTCCTGGTAGTTTCGCTTGAATTCAGAGCCCCACTCGGTAACGGCTCATGAAGCAGATTTGAACCCCAAACAGCAGCGCTGGACTCTCTGCGCTAACACATCCGGGAGCCCGCCATGCAGTTACTAGTCACGGTCATCCTCACCCTGTGGGTCTCCTGGGCTCGTGGACAAGGTGAGTTGAAATTGATGAGAATATTTAGCTTCCTTCCTAAGTAGGATTGGACCTTTATCATTTGTCTTTAATTTTTTTGAATCCTCTCTCCATTGATCTTTAGAAAGAGAGGGGAAAGGAGGGAGAAGGAAGAGGCAGAAAGAGAGAAAAAAGGGTAGAGGGAGAGGCAGAGAGATAAATATGTGAGAGAGACTGGGTGCCTCTCACCCAAGTCCCAACCAAGGGCCTGGGATGGAAACTGCCACCGAGATATGTGCTCTTGACCAGGAGTCAAGCACACCAGCTATGGGTATTGGAGGGTAATTTACCAAAACTTTGGTCTCTGCATTCATTAGGGACAATCTCTGACAATAAGTCATTGGCAGGAATGATGAAAAGTACAGGGACTGGTTAAATAAAAGTCACGTTTGACCCAATTCATCCATCCCCTGTGCAAATTGGATGTTTCTACTGAATCACAACAGGGAGTGCCCAAGGGGGATTATTATTCTTATTCCAAATCTCAATGATGGCTTCTCACAGTAGGAACAATGTGGCCTCACACTTTGTACAGTCTCAGCTGTCACTCTTTTGGACAGAGGCACCGGCCCCGGCAATGTTTTAACAGCACCGTTTACTTTCATGGAGATGATGAGAGTGGGGAATTACAATTTGTCAAGGGATGTATGCCCACTACTTGCAAGCAACAACCAGAAGTTCTTCTATTCCTAACTAATTTAACAAGATTCTCCCAATAGTATTTGGTTGGTTTCTTAGGGAAACGTGTGTTTTTATATGTCTCAGAGCTTTTGACTTCAAGCATTGGTGTCAATGAAAAGGTGCCTAGGCCAGCCAGTGTTGCATACTATGAAGTGAAAACTAAGATATGTAACGGACTGCAATGGTAACATGAAAATATGATAGATATAGCAGATTAAAATGTGAGAGAAAATAAATGTATTTTTTACTTTTATTTTTAAAATATAGTTTATTGACTTCAGAGTGGAAGGAAGGGAGAGTAGAACCATCAGTGATGAGAAAGAATCCTTAATCGGCTCCCTCCTTCACACCCTCTCCTGGGGATCAAGCCCCCAATCCAGGCATGTGCCCTGACCAGGAATTGAACCATGATTTCTTGGTTCATAGGTCAATACTCAACCCCCAAGCCACACCGATCTGGAAAAACAATGAACATTTTTCAGGTTCATTTGAGGTTAGTGTCAATTAACATTAAACTCTGGAGACATATTTTATTTAACACTTGTGTCTAGAGAAGGTCACATATATTTTCTACTAGTTTCTATATAATTGTTGTTGAGATATATATATCTATACACACACATACACACACACATATATATATACAGGGTGCTCCTTTGAATGCCCTTTTGCTCTTTGGAAAGAACAAAAAAAAAAAATGACATTCACTTTATTCTCATGTCCTCGATGGTTTTCATGTGATTTCTGCATAACACACTTGTCCTTTTACTTTTCAGAAATAACATGTGACCCTCCATTAATTGAAAACAGTCACTACATTCCTAAAAGGACCAATTACGAACTGGGACAAGAAATCACCTACTACTGCACAACTGGCTTCTTCCCTTCCTCCCGGGGAAATACTGCAACATGTACTGACAAAGGCTGGGATCCTCCTCCAAGATGTAGCTGTAAGTTCCCTCCAGATCTTCACCTGCTTCTTAATTCTGCAATTACTTGTCTTAAATTTTAAAATTAGGGGGATTTTCCTGACTGGCGTGGCTCAGGGGTTGAGCATTGACCTGTGAACTAGGAGGTCATGGCTCAATTCTTGGTCAAGGTGCATGCCCAGTTTGAGGGCTCGATCCCCAGTGTGGGGCATGCAGGAGGCAGCAGATCAATGATTCTCTCTGTTCATTGATGTTTGTGTCTCTATCTCTCCCTCTCCCTTCCTCTCTGAAATTGATTTAAAAAATTAAAAGTTAAAAAAATAAAGGGTATCTCATAAGTTCAAATCTTTGCCTCCCTGAGAAGGTAAAGCAGAGGCTTCAAGGCAGTCTTTGATTTCTAAAATCCCCAATTCTAATTAAGATCAAAACCACATTTTTTGTTAATAAAAACTTTTAATTTTTTGCTAATCAGTGTTAAATATGTGTATGTGTATGTATGAATATATATTTCTCTCACTAATATTCTAATATGTGAATTAGATCACTGGGTAAGAACACTACCAGTCAACACCTAGAACATGAGATATTGTCTGTGTAACAAACGCAGCCCCCTATGTGTCAGCGTTGGGGGGTCAGGATTGGGGAGCCGCTTAGCTGCCTGGTTCTGGGTCCTCCCTGCTGCTCCCTGGGATGCTGCCCAGGGCAAGTGCAGGAGCCTCCACAGCCGTCCCCCTGGGTGTCCCCATCGGCGACCTGAGGGCAGGAACCCTCCCCAGAGCGATGACCTGAGGGCCCTGGGGGCGCCTCCAGAGCATCAATGACCTGGTCACAGGGTCCCCTCAGCCATGTGACCTCTTCAGAAGAGCGCCCCTCAGTCCAGCCTCACTCAAGGGAGGGGCACGGGCTCCCTTGTATGAGGGGATGAGTGTGGGAGACACTGTGCACTTTCTAAAGCCCCACCTGTCACACACGCCCCTCAGCCCACAGGGCACTTCATTCCTGGGGGGCTGCCACTTTTCCAGTGTTTTCTGTCTCTACCATCTCATTGCTGCTCCTTGTGTATCAGCTCATTGGGAAAGGGGCCCGCACTTGAGCTGGATCTTCCATGGGTGACAAATGAAATGACACACATAACAGGTCAATGGGTCAGGGTTCATTCAAGGCCAAGGCCAAATGAATGTGGACAGTCAGGTGCCTTAAAGAGGAGGCTATTTCCACAGCGAAATAGACCTCAGTGTGCATAACAATGACAAGGAGAGTGATGATTTATGCAGATAATATTGACCTACAGTGTTGTATTTCTTTAAGGTATTCACTATAATGATTCCATATTTGTATATAATGTGAAATGATCAGAAAACAAGTGTTATTCACATCATCTGAAGATTAAAATTTTTCTTTTCGTAGAAATCCTAATGCAATGAGTGTAATTAGGTGCATAGGGGAGTATAATTCATCAATGAAATAAGTTATCTCTCATTACATTTATATTAAGGCAAAACATTACTTATACTGTGTTTCCTTTGTTTTAATTGCTAGTAAATCCCTGTGAACTTCCAAAATTAAAGCATGGACTCTTATACAAGGAAGACACGTATAGATCATACTTCCCAGCACCGATAAAACAATGGTTTTACTATTCCTGTGATGAAAACTATGTGACTCCTCCTGAAAGTTTCTGGCATTACATTACTTGCACACAAGATGGATGGACTCCGGAGGTGCCCTGCCTCAGTGAGTGAACCTCTCTGTGCTGTGCACATAGCAATAGTTCAGAGTTCAGAGAGCAAACATGAGCACTGCTAAGCCTGTGTGAGAAAAATATGGTCAAGGGAAGAGTTCTATGAGCAGAAAGAACAATACAGCTATTTTCTTTTACGAAACACCCCTCATTAAAAATATGGGAGATGAAAAAAAGATTTTTTAACAATGTTGATATCATTTATTCATAGTTCAATTATGAAAACTACAGATAAATCATCTTCAATCTTTCTTTTTCTTTTTCAAACACATTTACTAGCAACATTCCTTGTACTTAAGCTGCATGTTGGGACGCTTATGCATTCTAGTTTAAGGATTGTAAAGATGATTTTTAATTCATGACTATGACTACATTTATTCATTTTTCTGATCATTGTGTAATCCTCAGGAAAGTGTGTTTTTAATGATTTGAAACATGTACGTACTCCACCTAAAGAACAAAGATTGTTACAGGGACAGTCTATCAAAATTGACTGCCTTCCCGGCTACAGTCTCCTAAACCCACAGAGCACAGTGACATGTACGGAGAAGGGCTGGTCCTCGCTTCCCAGATGCATCAGTAAGTAAACACCCTGATGTCCAGTCCATTTGCGATTTTCTAAAGCCAGACGTATCACCATGGAAAGTTTCATGTGTCAACTCTCAAGGTGAATGTGCCACGCCTTCTTGGCTTTAAGGCAAAGGCCTACTTCATTTCCTGTTCCAAATGTGTGTGCAAAGCTTTAAATTTTTGATAACGAATAGGTCGTTAATTTATTGCAGTCAGTGACAGTGAGCAATCAGGCATGAATATTGTGAAATACTGTTGAGTGAAACAGAGATTAAGGTCACGTCCTGTATGTGTTCATTGAAGAAGCATTGAAATGTCTTTTCAATTAAAAATGAATACTCCTCTTGCCCAATGTCAATATATATATTGCTGTCAACCACTTCACCTATGATTGCATGTATTCATGCTATGAGGATATAAATGAAGATTCTCATATGAAGTCATATCTGGCTTTTACATGTTAAGTACACAGGTTTCTGTAAGTCGTTCTGTGGGCGTTTAGAAATAACAGAATAATTGTTATGGACATGGTATTATACACCAGGATATAATAGAGCTGATCTTTCATTGGAATATTCTTACATGTGTGTATCAAAGCAGTGAACACTGACTTGAACTGGGAATTCAGGGATCTACTGAGCCCCGTGGAAACAACAGCCTGAGTCCCTAAAGGAGCCTCTTTATCCTGCTTTCCCTACACCCGGTTCACGGGTTGCAATACTTACTATTAATTCACTCAGACTAAGAACATTTATAGATATTTAAAAAAATAAGACAGTTTCAAGGAAAACTAAACTATATGCAATAGAAAGTGGGCAAATTTACTTAAAAAGCACACAAAGAGATATCAGTTCTTACATTTTTAAATATTGTTCTCCATTTCATAGACTCCCTTTAGTGAAAAAGCTGTAACCTTTGCAATTCATTTTTAAAATCTGTGTGGATAAACTTTCAGTTTTGGGAATCATTAGGAAAAGAAAGGTGTTTTATATAAGTACATGGATCCTGTATCCAAGGCCTACGGTCTTTCTCAAATACTCACACTCTTGGTATTAGTATGT